AACAAGATTATAAAGCAGATTGTAGCTACGTTCGTCCGTGGTCGACGCGTATCTCACTCGATCCCGCGACTTCGATCGAACGACTCGCGTACTCGGCGAACCAAGGAAGAGGAGGGAAAATGCTTGGTACAAAGAATGGTACACGGTGCAAGAGGAAAAGACAAAGAAAGAGACCTATTTATAATACGTTTCGCGTCTTTGCAGGGGCTCCGAGCCGGTAAAGGCAGTAAACGTCGCGTGTATTTCATACGAAACTCCACCCTCTCCTTCCCTCTCTCGCGGTTGTTCCTCGCAATGCCAATCTTGGGCTCTTTCGTTCGTCCGATAATACTCGACCGCTAACAAAGTTAACTCGTCAGCTTCCATCTTTGCTACTTCGTTTTTTCTGTTTTTCTTTTTCCTCCGCCGCGTTACCATCCTTCTCTCGTTTGTCTGCTCGAATATTTTATCGAGTTAACCATTTGACATCGTTGTACGACGGTTGATTTTTCTACCAGAGATTCAACACCTCTCGAATAGGCAACTATTCGATCTCGTCGTCGAACATCGGCGCAAACCGTAAGACCGCAAATTAGCTCGTAAACGCGAGCGCTGAAAGTAGCGTAGCGAGTTTGACCGGAAACTTGCTCGGTCGGTTTGCTCGAACGATCGCGAAGAGTACAGGCGAGCGTGAATCGCGTTTTTCGGCTGGTTAATTAAAAAAACAAATCCTGTTTCTCGGAGAAAATGGATCGATTGTTAGTCGTTTCGCGAAGAAAGAAAAGCAGTTGAAGTTATCGGTGGCACCGTGTATCGAATCGAGGATCGTACGTCGAGGGTGCAGGATACCGCGTCGCAGAAGTTATTATTACGTTAGCGGTTCATCGAATATATTCCAGGGCCGTCACGCGAGATTCCGGGAAAAGTCGTTTCGCGCGCGTCCTGAAGGCTTTAAAAGCGACCGAGCAGAGTCGACCCACGATGGGTCGCAGTTTCAGCTACGTCGGTTAATAAAGGCCTCCGACATGGTCGATCGTTATTAGATCGGGCACTCCTTCGGCCCGTCGACCCTACCCGCCCAATATGCCTCGCAATAACCCATAAAATGCAACATTTTGTTTCGTATACCAATTACCCCCACTTCTGGTTGCACCGACCGAACGGTTGTACTATCCGAAGGAATCTTTTGGTCAAATCGTCTTTCCCAAGAACACAAGACGGACGAAGAAAGAAGCTCGATACCCTACCTCTGCCACAGTGGAAGCGCACACGCGTAATCAGACGCATCGAAAAAAATTATTCGAGATTCTTTTCAGTAGATACAAGGATTTTCAGAGGAAAGCAAAAGTCGTTTTTTTCCTCGAACGACATCCATCAGAAATTGACGAGCAAGAAAGGTTAATAGGCTCGGTTCGTGCATCTCGATTCTTGACTGATCCGCATGAAATTATGTACAACGATGGTACATAACGCTTGCACGGTCATCGAATAGCTACTTTGGCTGGTAACGCTCGAAACGAACGTACAGCGGCCACCATTGCGGCTCGAATACTCCACGGTGTGATGTAG